CTAAATATATTCTTATTACTTCCTTAAGTTTACTTATTTTTTCTACGAGTATTTATGAGAAGTATTAGCCAAATTTGGCTAATACTTCTCATAAATACTCGTAGAAAAAATAAGTAAACTTAAGGAAGTAATAAGAATATATTTAGACATGTTTTTGATGTGTCCTGTCCATGGGCTTGGAATGGCCGCTTAACTTTTCTTCAAATTTTATGGTAAAAACTGTTTTTCCCGTTCAGAAAAGCAATTTTATGGAAATATTATTTTCTTACTACCTCGACTCAAAATACGTTGTTTCGTCCCCGATTCCACGGCAGAAAGTTTACGTTTTATGCATTGGTCAAGCTATACGCGCACACTCTAATAGCGGGAGTAAAAATTTTTTAGTCGTGTGCTTAACATTCAAATTTCGTACTGCCAACATGAGAAACACAAAAATATGACAGTTTTAAAGCATAATTTTGCAATTATAACAACAAATAAACAATTTATGTTTTTACTTTTTTACTTTTTATGTTGTTTTAAGTGTTTAATGGTACTTTTATTTGTTATAAAATAGTAATTTGTTAATTAAAATACAACCTTTTATTTTTACTGTATTGGCACCGCTGAATTCACGGCCTACTGTTATTTATTTATCAAGCTCTTCAAATGGAGATAGGTACAGTGGCAATCATTTGAAAGTGCACGATTTTTTTCGCTAATGTAATACGGTCTTTTATGTGTCATAATATGACATATTATGACAATTATAATAAATTAATTTAATTAGTATTACTTATCTACTTTTATATGTATATAAGGGTGATTAAAAAAAAAACTTTTTTTATTTTTTTTCTCGGAATCACGCTCAAAAGTTTCGTTTAGGTTTAAAAATAAGCCTGTAAAGAGATGAACTCTTAATTTCGTTTTGCCATAAGAATAACAGGAAAAATTATTTTTGTTTCTTTTGATTTTTGTAACTAACGAACTATAGGTCGTACTGTAAATTTCCTAACAAATTTTTGTAGAGAATTGAACGCTCTACAAAAAAAGTTGGAGGGTCATTGTTTGGTAAGTTAACTCAAAAGTTATTCAAGGTTAAAGTGAAATTAACCGTTAATTTAGCCGTTTTCTCAAAAAAAACTCCTAGATTTTTGAGTTCAAAGGGTTAAAAATGAATCAAAGTATTGTTTTTGAGCTCTGGAAGTTCGAAAAAACTATCGATATTACGATCTCGAAGAGCTCCAAAAGTTGAATATGAATAACTCTGCAAGCTATTTATGGAACTTTCTGCTACTTTTAACCTTGAATAACTTTTAACCAAGTTAACTTACCGAAAAATGAATCTCGACCTTTATAAAATATTTTTTTTAAATAAGTCGGGTAGATTCGCCAAAAAATTTAAAAAACAAAAATTTCGTATAATTTGAACTTTGACCTTAAATTACTTTTGAAGGATCAAATTAATCAAAAAATCATAAGAAACCTTTTTTGTAGAGCGTTCAATTCTTTACAAAAATATGTCCAGAACTTTACAGTACGACAGAACGATACGTTAGTTACAAAAATCAGAAGAAACAAAAATAATTTTTCCCATGTTATTCTTATGGAAAATCGAAAAGTTCGATGCGGAGCATCTTAATTTTGAAATTAAGAGTGCATCTTTTCACAGGCTTATTTTTATACCTAAACTAAACTTTTGAGCGTGATTCCGAAAAACAAAATAAAGGTAAGTTTTTTTTGAATCACCCTAATATACATGTATATTATATAGTTTCTTGATTTGGAAACATCGTAAACATAAACATTAAAAATTACCTGCTCATGAGACACCAACAATATGCGACATATTTTTTAACCACCTGAGAGTCACGATGACACTTCACGTTAACCTTAAATTTTAAAGTCCGTATCACACAATTCAATTTTACGCAAATTCGGCACAAGAGTCGTGCACTTTCAAATGATTGGCACTAAATAAATACACATTTAATTTTTTCCCGTATTTTCGGCCGGGTTGTATTTTCGGCCGAGGTAGTAAGAAAATAGTATACACTACACTACACCTCGGGCATTATGGCGCGCAGTGCAGAAATCTCACACTTTCTGCCCTTGTAGTGTAATATACTATTTTTTTGCTAAAAATAATAATTTTGACCATCGAAAAAATTGTCGAATTTAACAATTGACCTTTTTCGTTTTGTCTCTTTTCAAGGTGCGAACAGAGCGCAAGAGCGCGAGATCGAGGAGCTGAAGAGCAAAATCGCGCAGGTTTTAGCGGTGATGCCAAACGACACGTTCGGCGGCGGCGGCGCGCACACGCAGTCGCGCGTTCGCCTCGCCGCCGTCTCCGCCAACGGCAACGTCGCGACGGATCAGCTGCAGCTGCAGCAGCAGGCGCCGGCGCCCGGCTCCACGCTCGATCCCAACGCCACCGCCTACACGCCCAAAAACCCGTCGATGGTCGCGGCCTCGGAAGCCTAGCTCGCGAAATTTTGCCCCTCCAAACAATAACACGCAAACACTAAGTCTAAGTCTCCCCCCCCCCTTGAAACCTAATTTCTATCGTTTGTTTTTCAGCATCACGGCCGTATGCGCATTTTCTATCGATTATGATGTCTATGGAAAGCAACAAACCAATCGCAGCGCGGCATTCTCCACCGCAATCTAGTGTGCGGTGGATAATGCCGTCCCCTAATTGGTTTATTGCTTTCCATATACATAATATTTTATAGAAAGTGAAGTTGCATAATAATATTTCAAGACATTATAATTAACAATATTAACTGAATCGGTGAGAATAAGAACGGTACAAGTCCAAAAATTTAATTTAATTTAAATCAATTTTAAACTTTAAAATACATTTTTGTGAGAAGATATAAATTATTATAGAACATGAACAATTTTATAAAATAGTTAAAATATTCCCGAAAAAATGCATTTAGAACTATAAAACTGATTTTTAAAAATATTTTGTCAACATTTTGACATTTGGACTCGTACTGTTCTTAATCTCACCGATTCAATTATTTATTTTGATAATTTTTTTTGTGCATACAGACATAATTTGACGTAAACGCCCCTTCAGTACTCATCTGTCAAAACGACTTAAAAACTTGTTTTGTAGTCATTATGAAAGTCTCCCCCCTGAAACATTTTTTTTCGTTTATTTTTCTGCATCTTATTGCCGTATGAACACTTTCTATCGATTATGACGTCTATGGAAAGCAACAAACCAATCGTAGCGCGGCATTCTTCATCGCAATCCAGTGTGCGGTGTAGAATGTTGGATTCTAATTGGTTTATTTTTTTGTACATACGTCCATAATTTATACGTAACGCCTTTTGAGTATTCATCTGTCAAAATGACTTGAAAACTTGTTTTGTAGTTATGATGACAGTCTCCCCTCCCCGAAACCATTTTTTTTCGTTTATTTTTCAGCATCACGGCACTTTCTATCGATTATAATGTCTATGGAAAGCAGCAAACCAATTGGATCTCGGCATTCTCCATCGCAATCTAGTGTGCGGTGGAGAATTCCGTGCTCTAATTGGTTTATTGTTCTCCATAAAAATTAAAGTTTGTGCATACAGCCATAATCTGTCAAAATGACTTAACCCAACTTAAAAATCGAGTTTCAGGTTTCGTTTAGTAGTCGTTTAATGACAGATTCCACGTAATCGACGCTGATTTCAAACGAAAATCGACGACATTTATAATTTAAGAGGTTGAATTATTTATTTTATCTTCAAGAATCTCAATATTAATTTATCATTCTTCCATGAAACATCACTTCCACTCGACCGTCAAATTTCGCGCGATGCGGTGTTGTCGGTTTTCGTTCAATTTCCTTTATTATTATTATTATTTTTGTTAGCTTATTTATTGTGATATAATTACGGTACCTAAAAAACTTAATTATTATTATTATCGACTAATCTAAGCACACTGAAACGGTACTGATTATTTTTATTGTTTTTTTGGCTGATTTATTTGATTGATCTCCAGTTAATCCTTATGTTCCACAAAAACTTCAAATAACGTCCACAATTTTCGTTGAAATCGTACTAAAACTATTGTCGTGGACTTTTTTTTTACAAGAAACTGCATTAAATAAAAAAAATTGTTCAGTTTTTGTTCAAACAATGGAATATTTTTCCAGCTGTGATAAGTTTTATTGAAATAAACTTCTAGTTTTAATTTAACTTGCCAAAACAAAAATATATGCATTTTGTTTTCGAGAATTATTATTTATTTATTATTTTGGGATATTCTATGCTGGTTTCTGTAAAATTTGAAGTTCTTTGTAGAAGTTTAACTATTTGTAAGGAAACGCTGTACTTAATATATTTTTGATTGTTTATTTAGTCAAATTGACACTTTTGTTTTTTACATGTATAAATACAGGAATAACTCTATTTTCATTTTTTATTTACTACTACCCTTCTTAACTCTTTTCTTCTTTGGAAATTTTGTATAGGTATGTTATTTATTTTGCCATATTTATTAATATATTTTTGTATTTATTATGTTTTTTTAATAAACAATAGTGCTGCCTATTTATGTATTTTGTTTTACACACAAAAAACCCATTTAAAACATTCAATTGTTTATTTTTTATGCATTGTATGCACCAAGTCTACTTCTGTGTAGGTATGGGTATTTTTTTAGACCATAACAATTATTATCTATAATCACTACCAAAAAACTGTTTAAAAAAAAAAACAAATAAAAAGTGGTTTAATCTGACTAAAAACCTTACTCTTTGTTTTATATGTCTATGGGATTTTTTTCGAGGCAGTAGTTTAAATGTCCCAATGTTGCCGGATATATTCTTAATACAATTGTGGTGTTTTTAACGTTTTTTCGTCATTTTGAAAGCAAAATTTTTATTTTAAGTAATTACGATCAATTTTGTATTCATTACATTTGGTTTTATTAAAAAATAGTCAGTATTAGCGAAATTTACAAACGGAAATGTGACAACTATGGCGCCTTTTTTACCAGTTATGTTTTTCGAATGTTTTGCCGGTATTTGTATTTTACACATAATCCTTACAAATACTGCTCAATAAGGGTACATTTTAGCAAAATGAGGCCTGCGAGATGTTCAATGTGTTTAAAACGTTGCAAAAACGTTAAAGACTTGATTAAACACATAAAAAAACACCCTAAACGTGATCTTCTGAAAAACTTATTTGATAATAACAACAACCACGTGTTGATGAAGAATACAGTAAAGAAAAAGATTGATACTGTCGATAAAAGCGAAGAAATATATTTTTCCGACAATATTCATATAGTTTGTGGTAAAGGCAAAGTTGTGATTAGTGATGGAACCAATTCAGTAGAGTTTAAAACTAAATTTGAAGGTAGGGAAGTTATTCTACCTATTATAAACGAAAATAATAATGACGGTGAAGATTTAGAGCAGGGCTCTGAGAAATACCACTTTAAGATTGACATAACACAGGATAGAGTGAAATCGGAGGAGATTTACTTCAACGACAATATACACATTCTTTTTGGGAAAAACAAGATTATAATCGGTGATGGGAAGAATTGCGTGGCCTTTAAAGTCAATTTAGAGGACAAAAACGAACCTTTGGTGGTGACAAACGAAAAACTGGGCAAAGACGAGTGCTACTTCCAAATTGACATTACTCGCATTGATAAAAACCACAACAAATCCCTTGATGATAAAAGCGGGAAATTCTACGAATGCCACTGTTTTGAACCTGTTGAGGCCCCAAATGCCTCCGATACCGACTCGGGTTCTGATTCACTGATAGAGACAAAGTTCGTCTGCGAGGAGTGCTGCAGTGGGTTTGACAGTGAGCAAGAATTGTTGGAACACATCCGGGGACACATGATTCCTTGCAGGGTGTGTGGGGAGAGTTTTCCCAACCAAATGTTGCTCTCAGAGCATGCCAAAAGCCACGTTATTAAGGTTTATTTGTGCCACATTTGTAATATGGAGTTTTTCTACCGGGAGGCCTTTCGCAGACACACTGAGGCTCACTACGAGAATTACACCCTTGATACTGTTGTAGATATGGAGAGGGACTACAATGTACAACCGTATACCAACACTATGGGGTACAATGAAAGTATTAACCAAATTTTGCATTACTTGGGGTACAATAACGATTTTTACAACTATCAAAGGCAAAAAGTTATATGTGAGATTTGTAGGCATGAAGTTTTTATTGGTGATATTGAACAGCACATGCAAACCGTCCACTACGCATACGCGTGTTAATTTTACTTAGTTTCTAAGAATTAATAATTTTATTTGTTTGTTAAAGAAGTATGTTTAATTTTTTTTATGAATAAAATGTTATGTTTTTTATTTCTACGTTTTTTACGTCTACAGTCGGCAGTAGTTCTGATAACCCAACGTTGCCAAAAGTACATAATGAAAAACTAGCTCTGAATAAAGTTAAATATATTATCAGCATATTATGTACAAAATAAAGCTTACATTATTACATCTCTTAGGAGAACGGGTTTAAATTCTTATCGCACTCGTAATCGTCTCTGAACGGGTTGTTTTTGTCGTCGTCCTCTTCGATTTCGAACGGATTTTTCTCGCGCTCGTAATCGTCCTCGAAGGGGTTCGAACCGGCTTTGGCCGCCGTTTTTGGGGCGGCCTTTTGGTACGGGGCCGCCTGGAACTTGTGCTTGCTCGGGTCCAAAGATGAGCTGTACTGCCTTTCCGAGATCCTGAAAAATAGTTTGAACATAACCTCAAAGCGGGTTTACACGCTAAACAATCCTGTTTTTAGTCAAATTGACAGTCCAAATACAATAATATTTATTATTGTTAATTTACTTATCAATTATAAATAAAAAGATAATCATGCCAAAAATAATAGCAATGAATTCGAATGTAAAAGTCCTTTTGACGGCAAAACTTCATTCTGATGAAATTATGCCAAATGCCACAATGGAAGAAAAAGTACATCGCCTTATGGACATTTTTGGAATAAAAAAGTAACTAATTTGGTTTTATAAATATTACATCACACAATATTTTCACATTATTCACCATTGGACAACATTTACGTTCACAAAAAATTTTAATTTCTTTTATATAAATTCTTTTCAAAGCGAAGATTATTATCCGCTAGGAATACTTTCTCTTCTGGGCCGTTAAGCAACCTATATTTAACTACTTTTTTATATGATTTTACTCATCCAGGCACCACCAAAGCCAAATTAATTGCATTTTTAACTACGAATTTCGACAACTCAACTTGGCAACTGCACAATGTAACCTATAATAATTTATACATAACCACAATTAGATTTATAACTAGCTTAGTTTGTTTTAATCAATGCGACCAACTTGACAACTGTATTTACCAACCAAAACCCTAAATTTGCAACGTTGCCGCAGTCCAGATAAAAAAAATGAACTTTAGCTTCTCGTGCCCATATTAGGATTCTGTCCCTGTCATTTTTATACCTGTCAAAAAGATTTTAAAAATGCCACGTTAAAAATGACAGATGGAAAAAATGGTATCTGTAAAAAATTACAGATGTGTCGGGTTATTCAAAACTGTCCAAATTCGAACAAAATTTTATAATCTGATTAATAGTAATATTATTTAACTGTCATTATTACTTCTGTCATTTTAAAAATATGACAGCTTAAATAATTATTTTGACATCTGTCATATCCTATTTTGGACATCTAAATAACATGTCAAAAATGACAGATGTCAAAAATGGCATCTGTCAAAATTGAACACCTGTAAAATGAGATTTTATATTTTAAAAATGACAAAAGTAATAATGACAAAGATGTCAAACGATATTAATAATAATAAATCAATTTTAGAAATATTGAAAATTTGCTAATTTTTCGTATTTATCCCATATACCTATAACTAGTTATAGGTATGTAATGTTCGAATTTTCCCCCCAATTTTTTGTCGTACCGTTCATTTTTTGTTTGAATTTGGACAGTTTTCAATGAGCCAAAACATCTTATCATTTTTTTTGTCAATTTTGACAGATGCCATTTTTGACATCTGTCATTTTAACATGTTATTTAGATGTCCAAAATAGGATTTGACAGATGTCAAAAATATTTATTTAAGCTGTCATATTTTTAAAAATGACAGAAGTAATAATGACAGTTAAATAATATTAATCAGATTATAAAATTTTGTTCGAATTTGGATGGTTTTAAATAATCCGACACTTCTGTAATTTTTTACAGATACCATTTTTTCCATCTGTCATTTTTAACGTGGTATTTTTAAAATCTTTTTGACAGGTATAAAAAATGACAAAATGGACACGAGAAGCTAAAGTTCATTTTTTTTATCTGGACTGCGGCAACGTTGCAAATTTAAGGTTTTGGTTGGTAAATACAGTAGTCAAGTTGGTCGCATTAAAACAAACTAAGCTAGTTATAAATCTAATTGTGGTTATGTATAAATTATTGTGGGTTAAATTGTGCAGTTGTCAAGTTGAGTTGTCGAAATTCGTAGTTAAAAATGCAATTAATTTGGCTTTGGTGGTGCTTGGAGGAGTAAAATCATATAAAAAAGTAGTTAAATATAGGTTGCTTTACGGCCCAGAAGAGAAAGTATTCCCGCTTTGAAAAGAATTTATATAAAAGAAATTAAAATTTTTTGCGAACGTAAATGTTGTCCAATGGTGAATAATGTGAAAATAATGTGTGATGTAATATTTATAAAACCAAATTCGTTACTTTTTTACTCCAAAAATGTCCATAAAGCGATGTACTTTTTCTTCCATTGTGGCATTTGGCGTAATTTCATGAAAATGAAGTTTTGCCCTCAAAAGGGCTTTTACATTCGAATTCGTTGCAATAGCGTAATTATCTTTTTATTTATAATTGACAAGTAAATTATGAATAATAAATATTATTGTCAATTTGACAGTGTCAAAGTATTTAATTAAAGCTTTAGCAGAAGTACAATTTTTAAATAATAAAAATACTAAGTCAAACTGGCATAAGCCACCAACCTAACAAAAAAACAGAAACAGAATAAAAAATGAACTGTAATTATTATAATGACAGTTAAATAATATTAATGGACAGTTTTCAATAACGCGACAAACCTGTAGTTTTTGACATAATATGCCATTTAAAACTTGGTATTTTTAAATCTTTTTGACAGGTATTAAAAATGACAGGCCTAAAATGGGCTGTCAGATTTTAAAAATGACATAAGTAATAATACCATTAGTCTATTTTCAAGGGACAAATTTTGATTTACACAGAAAAGTTTGAGATTTTAACAATGTTAATGGTGAAAATTTCTTTTATTTGGACGGTTACTTTATTTTCTTATAGATGTCGCTTTATGAAAATATTTAATTTATATAATTTTTTAGATAATATCAAGTATTTGTCGTAGAAAAATGCTCTCATTCTAAATTCGTCATTTTTGTAATTAAGGTTAATTTACACAAAATGTCCCAATATTTTTTGACAGAATCTGGCCACCTTATACTAAATCGACACCGTAAATTCCAAATCTGCCATCAGTTTTATCAAAAAACGTTTCATAAGAGCGCTACGGTCATTTTTCGATTTTTCATAGTTAATTTCAAAAATATTACCTCATTCTGCCTTCAGAGGGCGGCACCACGATGTTGGCCGATTGCTGTTCGCTTATCCTCATGCGGGCTTCGGCTCCAGGTCCGTAGTTGCTACTTTCCTGCTCGTAAACGGTGGATTTTTTCGGCCTCTCGACCTTTTCCGGCGCCATTTTCTTCTCGCCCGCTTGATCGTCCGTAATGACCTTGTACTTGTTGAACACGCCCCGCCCGAAGAACTCGGCCGCCTTGGAAAACCCGTCCTGAGTCTTCTCTAGCTGCGAATGGAACGTCTCGTGCAGGTCTTTGTTGTACTCGCGCGCCTTCAGCAGTTCCAGCAGGTTCTTGTTTTCCGGCTGGCAGGTCGGGCATTCCTGCTCGTCGTCGGAGAAACTTTGGAAGCAGTGCTGGTGGAAACTGTGCTGGCAAAGGAAATGTATCGTCGGCAACTCCAACGGGTGGTGGCATGCGGCGCATCTAGAGCCCTGAACATGAAGAAGAGTAAGTGAAAATCGCAATACCAAAGTATTATTTTTTAACAACTTTATTTTCTCTACCGAAATCGATGATATCGGGCACGGTTTTCAATGTGATGCTAAAATCATTGCATCAAGTGAAAGTGGTAGTGCAACTACAGGGCGATAGATGGCGTTTACATGAATAATACCATAGAGTCCCTAGATTTGGGACCTTAGAATACCAAAAGTATGTTTTTAGCCATTTTTAAACACATTTTCGGCTATAAAACTCAGAAATTTTGCCATCCAAAGTCAGTCTTTGGTATAAATATTATTATTTTATGTATCCAACATATTTTTTGTTAAATATTCTAATATATAATTAATAATAATCCTATTTACCTCTCTAACAGATGTTAAAGGTAACAAAGGTCCATTATTATCCCGTTCGGCCTCAAAATAGCGTATTAAGGATGATACTATTTAAATGCTTCGGCATTTTAAATATAGGAAAAACAAAAAAACGATATTAACAAACACAAAAACGGCAATGAAAACTTAAACAATATAAAATAACACAAACAACAAACAAAATAAACGAAATTATACACGAATTTAACGAAATATTCAAAAACAAAACTGACAGCTTCGAAATTCTAAAACGTCAATTTATTTTTCTATGCGTCATTTTATTAAGCAAAATTTTAATCCAAACATGACAACATTGCAACTGCTGCCAACTAAAATTGTATATTATGTATTAAGTTTTATAAACGCCATTTTAGTTACGAGTTTTATTAAGCACGAGCGAAGCTTGCAAGCGAGTGTTTAATAAAAACGAGTCTCTAGATAAGTTTATAAAACGAGTTGCATACTATACTTTATCTACGACGACCACAAAGAAGAATTTAAATCCAATTTTATTTGTTAAACATTTGACATCTGTCAAATGTCAACGCAATTAACCTCACTTTTTTCTAATTTATAATAAAGCTAACTTCAGCCCGTGACTAAAATGCCCAAAAGCAACTATTACTAACTTCAGCCCGTGACTAAAACGCCATAAAGTCACAGCTCGTCAATGTAGGAGTAGATAAAATGCATTAAAATATCCAATTAGACTTTCTTTTATACATTTAGTATAGGTACCAGTGCGCAAAATGATGACGTCATGGATGACGTGTACGTCATTTTAAAATTACTATAAATTTGTTTTATTCACCCAAAATTTTTAAAAAATGGACAGAAACATCGATTTTCTTTTTTACGAGTGACATTTTTTCTTGAAAATGCGATAACTTGGCCAAAAATGTTTCAATCATTACAATTTTTTTTTAAATTAATTAAGTAAATACACTCAATTATTTTATTGTTTAAAAAAAAAATGGAGGTCAAAATTTTGACATTGCCACATTTTGTTTACTTTATATTTTTTTCGTTTGAAGTGGATAATATTTTTTTAATGAAAATTCCATTTCCTAGTAAATTTGTAGTTCATCGCAAAAATTTGGTATTTTATCTAGGGTCTCATCAATTTGAGTAGAGAAATTGTAAAAAAAAATCCTTGAAAAATATCGACCTGCCTCAAAGTAAAAAAACATACCTGTATAACATTTACACCGCTGCGTAAACTTTCAAGCTTCTCCTTAAGCTTATCGGTATCTTTTTGGTACTTCTCAGTCAATTCAGACACTTCCCGCGTCTTTTTCTGCTCTTGCTGCAGCTCGTTCATCACGTACGACCTTATGTGACCCAAAGTGACGTCTGTAGTTCCGTTTGCGACCGCATCCACCACCAATTGCGGCGAGCACAGCTTATCTTTGGCTATGACCGTCAAAATCTGCAAGCAAACGTGGCAACATTGCAGGCAAGGGGCGGAGCCTACAGCCTCGAGACTAACAGGGCGCCAAGCGGGAAAATATGGCACTTCTTTAGGACAATTTAATTAAATTCGTGTTTTATTTTTATTTCATGAATATGTATGTTATAATTATATTAATGTGCAATTTTCAATAACCCGGTTATAAATAAATTAAATGTAAGGGCAGTTTTCCATTATCCAATTTTCTTTTAATTGGACAGATTCCATTTTTGACATCTGTCATTTTAAACATGCTATTTTTTAAATCCGTTGAACAGATGTAAAATGAGATGTCATAGTTCAAAAATGACAAAAGTAATAATGATCAGCATATCGTTTTGTTTGGACAATTTTAAATAAGCCTAAACATTATGTTTGACATCTGTCATTTTTAACATGCTATTTTTTAAAATTCTCTTGACAAATGTCAAAACTGACAGGTGACAGATGTCAAAAACGAGATGTCACATTTTTAAAATGACAGAAGTAATAAAGGCAGTTAAAAGATGTCAAATAATAATAATAATCAGATTATAAAATTTTGTTACAATAGGACAGACTACCCGAAACATCTGTCATTATTGACCTTATATGACAGATGTTAACTTTGACAGATGTCATTTATGAAAAATATAATTTTTGACACCTGTAATTTTAAACATTATATTTTAAAAACTTTTAACATAGTTTAAAAATTACAAAAGTAGATAATAATGACAGTTATAAGTCAAACGATATTAGTAACAATAAATCCAATTTAGAAATATTAAAAATTTACCAATTTTTTATATTAATACTACTGTGCGACAGATGTCATTTTTGACAGATGTCATTTTCAACATGTTATTTTTTAAAATCTTCTTGATAGGTGTCAAAAATGACAGTTAAATTATATTAATAATAATTAGATTATAAAATGTTGTTCGAATTTGAACAGTTTTCAATAACCCCAAACATTAGTAATTTTTGACAGATGCCATTTTTGACATCTGTCATTTTTAAAATGGTATTTTTTTAAATACTTTGACAGGTATAAAAATGACAGGTGACAGATGCCTAAAATGGGCTACGACAGATATCAGATTTTAAAAATAACAGTAGTAATAATGACATTTAAGAGATGACAAATAATATTATTAATAATAAATCCATTTTGGAAACTTTTTTTTAAATTTTTTTATCCGATTTTACAAATTTGTTTAAGTTTTGACAGTTGACAGATGCCATTTTTGACATCTGTCATTTTTAACATGGTATTTTTTAAAATCTTGACAGGTATAAAAATGTGACAGATGCCTAAAATGAGCTATGACAGATGTCAAAAATGAGGTGTCAGATTTTAAAATGACAGAAGTAAGAATGACATTTAAGAGTTGTCAAAAAAATATTAATAATAATAAATCCATTTTGGAAATTTTGAAAAAAAAATCAAATGTTTTATATGATTATCCAAATTTGTTTAAATCCAAAACAGTTGTCAATTTTGACAGATGCCATTTTTGACATTTTTTAAAATCTTTTTGACAGATGTCTAAAATGAACTATGACAGATTTTAAAAAATGTCAGGTGACAAAAATGACAGTTAAAGGATGTCAAATAATATTTATAAAAATAAAGAATGAATTCATTTTGTGAATTTTGATAATTTGTCCTACCATTTTTATATTTATACTAATGTGCGAACAGTTATCAATTTTGAAAGTTGCCAAATTTGCCAGATACCATTTTTGACATCTGCAATTTAAGACAGATGCCATTTATAGCATCCGTCATTTAAATGATATTTTAAAAAATCTTTTTGTCAGGTGTTGAAAATGACAGATGTCTAAAATAGGCTGAAAAATACCAAAAAAAAATTAAAAATGACAGTAATAATAAATTCTTTTTGCAAATTTCTGGCCTGCAAACAAGATTTACTTCAAAAAGTGCGAAATTTTGACGTTGGCGGCCCCTTAATCCTATCAACCAATCACAAACCTCGTTTAGAAGGTCCATCGTGGGTTGCTGTGAATCCCTCACGCACGACCATAGAGCTTGCACCCATAGAGAGGGCTCTTGGTGTCCGAAACGACGGCAACACGCCGAGATGGCTTTCGAGTCGTTCTTCGAGATGTGGTAACGTAAAATTTGCTGATACAACTTCTGTTCTTCGTACAAATAAAGAATCCCCTCGCTGAAATTGTGCATGTGGCACACAACCAACGCTTGAGATTTGTCGTATTTCACGTCCAAGTTTTGCAGTAGCTTCAAAGTTTTCTGAGCGCACTTGTTTTTGTCTGCAGAGTCCTCCAAGTTGGACCAAACGTGTAGGTAGTGTTCCAGGAGGGTGTTATAGACGGGGGTGCTAAAAATACCCCCCTCGTTTATTAAATATTCTAAAAACTCCACAAGGCGTTCAGAGTTGTTTAAAAATAGATGTATATATTCTTCCGGATCCGCGCTTTGAGTTAAATCGTAGTTCAAAATAATATTGTCGGTTATATTCTGCGATATTTCGGGCTTGTAATTCATACACAACTTCTTTAAAAACTGCGTGGTCTCGTGCGGTTCATTCTCGACTAAAATTTTGCCGTATTTTTTCATGTAAAACACGGCATCTTCGAACTTTAAGTTGCGGATGTATTCCAGGACTTCCGCGTACTTTTTGTGGTCTTCGATCTGCAACTTGATGTACCAGTCGTGTTTTTCGTGCTTTTTCGCCAAGGTCAGCGCCTCTGCCGGGCTGCCTTGGCGGCACACCTTTATAGCCACATCCACGTCGTAGTTAAAATCGCCCTCCTTCATCAGGATAAAGTCCTTTAGACTGTCAGTCTGCCCCACCGTGTTGTTTAGTTTGGTGTAGCAGTTCAACAAGAGGGTTGTGTGGTCTTCAGTGGCGTGCCCTTGTTTGTGCAGCGCTAATAAATACATGGTCAACTTTTCTATGTGCTGCGAGTCCAAAAACTTGCGTATCACGTAGCTGGGCTCTAGCTTGCCTATGGTTTTGATGTATTGTTCGATGGCGCCGGAAAAATCGCTTTTGTCGCAGAGATGGTCCCCATATTGCTTGAAAATGTCCACCAAACCGTCCGAATCGTACTGTTGCGACTTTGCAATCCTAATCGACACGTCATAGAGGTTCTTCTTGAACAACAAGGACAATTTCGATTGCAAATCCTTCTCGTCCAAGTGGTACAACCGATTTTCCTCGTCCAGTATGTAAAACCCACCCCATTCGCTCATTATGGCCTTGACTTTCGGGACGATCGCAGAAAACACGATGAATTTGTTGTATATGTCAAGTACCGTTATCAAGTCGCCTTGCTGGAAGTTACCCTGTACTTCCCCAGTCAAACTTGGTATGTTTGGCCGGCTGTTTTTCGATATTATGATTAGGTAACTTCTAAACCACTCTAACATCACCTTTTCCCCATCTACTGCATAGCACGGCCCTCTACCGTCGGAAGTGTAGCAATATATCGCCTGAAAGTAGGCCAACTTTAAACGTCTATATCTCAAAAATTACTGAAGATATTAACATGAAATTTTAGGATGTTAATCATGCATATATCACGCATATTTCTCCCAAATTTCGTTAAATTATCATTAAGGATAAGGTGACCAACCGTCCTGGTTTACCCAGGACAGTTGTGTACTGATTTTGTCCTGGTTTATACTATTTTTTTTTTTTTGACTTTATCAATTTATCAATTTTTTTTAAGTGTTTGGGACTCGGGTTAAAAATTAATTTAAAAATCTAAAACTTTGCATTTAGAAGAGCAAAAAAGTAAGAAAAAACCTAGTATGAAAAAAAAAATAATTAAAAATTATGACATTTTTCACTTTTTTAGTACATATTTGATTCATTATTTTTTTTACAAATCCGAATTTTTTAATGTACCTTCAGGATAGTAAAAAAGTAAGAAAAAACCACTTTTGAATTTTTTTTTAAATTATGAGTTTTTCCCACTTTTTAGGGATTGTTATAATTTTTTTTTATAAAGTGGTCGTGGCTCATGTTAAAAATGATTTTTTTGGGAGAACCTTAAGGGTTATAAAAAAGTGTTTTAAAAAAAATATCAAATTATAAGTTTTTCCCGCTTTTTTAGGATTTGTTCTAATTTATTTAATAAAAGTGGTCAGGGATCAGGTTAAAAATTAATTTCAAAATCTGAATTTTTAGGACTACCTTAAGGATAGTAAAAAGTAAACAAAATATTTTTTTTAGATTATTAGTTTTTCCCACTTGTATAAGATTTGTTTTATTTTTTTTTTAATAAAAGTTGTTGGGGCTCAGGTTAAAATTAATTTACAAATCTGAATTTTTGGGAGTACCTTCAGGATAGTAAAAAAGTAAGAAAAAGCCTCGTTTGAATTTTTTTTTTAATTATGAGTTTTTCCCACTTTTTTAGGATTTGTTTTAATTTTTTTATTAAAAGTCGTCAGGGCTCAGGTTAAAAATTAATTTAAAAATATGAATTTTTGGGATAATTTTTTTTATTATTGACGTTATTTTTTCAAATAATAAATATTAAATAAAATAAATTTTGTTTATTTTTTGGAATGGAGAGGAGGGGCATGTTGTGTCCTGGGTTTTCATTTTAGAAAGTTGGTTACCTTATTTAAGGAACACATAGATATCATAAATTTACTTACATCATTCCTCCCCACCATAAAGTGACTCTCCTGTGTGGATTCAGCCAAAACAGTGCAATTTTTGGCGCACCCTTTATTATCCAAATGAAACTAAAAAACAAATCATTTATTTAACAGTATTTTCGAAAATATATTATAAACCTTTTGTTCCTTATCTTTATGTGTTATATTGTAACCAATTACAGAACAATCTGTGGCTATATACAAAAAAATATTTGCTGCCGACGATTTAAAAGCCAACCCTGTCACTATAGAGCTTGCATCCCTCAATAATTTTTGCTTGCAACTTTTTTCTCTAGTTATATCACCTCTAAAATAATATTTTGTATATTAAGAACAAATTTCTAATTTATGATTAATCACCTGTATAAAACCAAAGATCCATCAACAAACCCTACAGCCATTAGCTGCAAACTATCATGCACACACAAAACACTTGCTTGCACTGCTCTGTTGCCAGGAAGTGCCCTTGTAATTCGGCAGCAGTATGGTGTACCATTTTTGTCCAAACGACTTGTATCCCATACCTTAATCAAAGGGTTTATTCCAGGTTCATCATGCTAAAATATTACTTAGATGAATAACTGCCTTAAACAGTTGGATATGTCTTAAGAATGTTAACTATAGTTAAGTATACTTATAGTAAAAACCAAATCAACTGCCAGAACTAAGAAACTGCTCTATTGATAGATATGGATTTCACTGTACATATAAGTGTCTTACCCCTATAGTGACTAATAAAGGCGAATTTCTCAGCTGATAACTATAATCCACGGATATTTCATATCCCCTAAAACTTGTAATGTGCCATGTTCTTGATATCAAGTGTATTTGACCTAAAGAATCGCCCAATACTAAATGATTATTACCGCTGGATGATGTTGTTACAAGACTTTCCTACAACTAAACATTTTAACATACTTTAAGCATATTTTTTGATAACCACCTTAAATGATTCGGCTATTATCCCGTTATCAACGCCCTGTTTTATGTCGAAAAAGTGGAATTTACGCCACTAAAAAATACCAAACATTAACAAACATTCTAGTGTCATAATTTGTTGTTTTACCTCCAAAAATGCCATATTAATGTATTTTTTTGCTTAAAAACACCACAAAAACATTATTGACAGCGAACCGTCAAAACAACTGTCAAATTTTATCGATACATTTGAACTACTTGTTAAACAGGAGTGCTTAAATTCATTTAAAACAGTGAATTCAGCATTTTTTATGTTATTTTATACGTCTAGTGCAATAATATTGTTAAATACGAGGCGTAATAATATTATTTGATATAATTTTTTATTGATTTTTAAATTTGTGTTATCAAATTTGGCAAGAATGACACTACCAACTTAACAATTATGCAATATATTCGTTATTAAACAATATTAATTGATTTTTACAACACAAAATAACATTGTAGAGTTAAATTAATGCAAATAAGGTGATAATTTAGGGTGATTGGGGTTTTATGAGGATTTTTTTGACATTATAATCTGACAGCCACAGGACTTGGCAACGTTGTTTCAGCAGTGTTCAAAACATGGAAGCACAGGGCGCTTATGGTGGTGGCAAAGCTGGGGGTGCATTCGACCCCATATCGTTCGTGCAGAGGCCCCAAGTGATACTTCGGGCAGTTTGCTGGGTAAGAATTTTTTTTGGGTAAAATTTGCAAAAAACCCTGCTCGGATAGCTCGAAAATCAAACGTAAAATCGCGATTTTCAAATAATCGATTTTTTGACAGGTTCTTGGTGGGGGTGTGTCATTTGTCTCATTGATTATTTGATTTTTGGGTCAAGAATATGCTTTTAATAAATAAATTTTGATAATTTTTCGTTTTACTGTACATTTTTATCGCTTTTTTCACGATAATACTGTTTAATTTACGTTAAATAAACATTTATGTTAATAAAACAAATGACTATCTATAAACTAGCTGCATTTTTATTGGTTGTTAAGTAACAAGTTGTTACTAACAACGCACTAGATTCCTTATTTTGTGCTTCCCAAATAAACTATTTTTCTATGATGTTTGTTTTCAGCTTTTCTCAATAATAGTTTTTGGATGTATTTCTTCTCAAGGCTGGTTATACGATGAGGCCTCCAAAAAAAACAAGTGTCTCTATAATGGGGACTCAAACGCGTGCAACTATGGAGTAGGCATTTCCGTTATAGCCTTTTTGGCCAGCATGGGTTTCATTGCGGGAGAATATTTATTCGAACAAATGTCCTCAGTTAAAACAAGAAAACACTATGTTTTGGGCGATCTGGGATTCTCAGGTAATTCAATACCAATGGAATTTTTATTGGCTGTATTTATGGCCTTTGAGTTTATATAGGTCAAGTAAGAAATTCAATTAAATTTAAGTGGTGTAATAAATACCTATGTATGTTATTTGACAGTAAAAATTTATCTTTTATTTGTCAAGGTCGCATTAGTATATTTTGAAGGTTACAAACGTCAAATTAACGGTTTAGGCCTTGAAATCGTTACTTTTGTATTAATTTTGCTATTTTGATGGAATTTTTAGTATATAATGAAGAAAATACGTTTTATATCGCGGTTTTAATGATATTTTAAGGGTTACAAACATTTGACAGCAAAAATCACTTTTTTATCTGTCAAGGTCACACTTGTACATTATCAAGGCTACAAACGTCAAATTGACGTTTTAGACCTTGAAACTTGTAACTTTCGTATTTATATCGCGATTTTGATGGGATTTTTAGTGTATAATGAAGAAAATACGTTTTTTATTGTAGGAGCATGGGCTTTTCTGTATTTTGTCGGTTTTTGGTACCTAACGAATCAATGGGGAAAATCCACGTCGCCTGCTAATGAATATGGGGTTAATAATGTACAAGCTGCTATTGCATTCTCGTTTTTCTCCATATTTACTTGGGTAAATAAAAAAAATATAAAAAAATGTTTTTAGTAGGTGCGTTTTTTTTAGGCGGGTTGCGCGTTTTTCGCTTTTCAACGTTTTAAACAGGGGGCCGATTCGGCTTTTGCCACAAACTACGAGGCCGACTCAGGCATGCCAACTTCGTTCCCATCCTATCCTGGGGGCCCCGAATCGGATCAGCATTATCAAGAGCCCCCTTTCTCAGCTGGGCCCCAAAGAGGTGAGAAAAAAAAAATTTTTTTCAAGTTTTTCTCACAAAATTTTTCAGGTCCAACCGAGTTCCAGGCTCCAGCATATTAATTTAGCCGGGAAAGGTTGGTATTAACTGATTTGAATAGCGGGTATTTAAGCCTATTTTACCAAAGACAAAACAACATAATTCAGTATATTTGTACTTACAACTAGTATTATTTAAATGTAAACATATTATGTGTGAAATTTTAGACTTAAAAATAACCAACAAAACATATGTTAGGTTCATATCATAAACCTCACTGAAAAAATAGTATTCATTTTATTTATTCTTTTAATTTTTATGATTTTGTTGATCACAGCAAAAATCTCGAAAATGTTACATAATTATATAAAAATCGTTGAATGTACAGAAAAAGTATATAAAAAAATGCTTGTAGATACGTATTTCCATTTTTTTTGCATAAAAATAGTCCAAGTGCAATAATTTTGGCTTTAATATTAAATTAAAACGCGTAGTTAATAGTAAATGCCATAAAATACCAAAAAATGCAAGAAAAGCAGTCAAATGTGCCATACACTTTCAAAAAATTCAAAAACACTGCCCAGACAAAGAAATAGGTGAAAATCGCGCTTTTTCTGCATTTTTCCAAGGTACAGGTCGTCTCATGTCGACCTCATGACGTCATTTTCGTTGCGGCAGCTTATAAATACCATATAAATACTATGTATAGTAGAGTGTCATTGTCTGGTAAAAAACATAGTTTTTTAGCAATAATAATGTAGATATTTTAATCGACGGGGTGTTGTTATCGTTTTACGTGACGTCAACATTTTTAATTTACACTAATTTTGTATATAAACATGATTTAGAATCTCATGCACTTATAAATACGTTTGGTTTGTTTTGATGCCCTGCGTTCTTCACTGAATGTTTTTATTTCGTTTTTATGGTTTATAATGTACTATAATTACACTATTCTCAAGTAAGAAACAATAAGTTACCAAATAAATGTTAAATATTAATAATAAGTTTTATTTTTTACCCACAATCCAATCAAATATTTGAAATGAATTGCAATTTAAATTTTAAGCATGCTATGACCATGCAACGTTGCCATATTCATACAGAATGAATACAAAAAGGCAAATAAAGTACAAATTATTAATAAATATTAAAGAATTATCGTATATGTAACGAAACTTCTATATTTTAACTACAAATTGTTAATTAAATATAATTGTTATGGTGTTTTTAGTCACAAATGTAAGGCTGATAGATTCGGCAACGTGGCCTCGCGTAGGTTGAAAGTTTATTGAGGTTATGTGAAGTTTAAAAAACCGCTCTTTTGTATGTTTACGCTTAACCGACAATTAACAGAAATCGTTGTACACTGTGTATTTCTGGTGAAGCTTTGTTATAATATGGAAGGAGGTACCTCAGAATCAAGTCCTTCATCTTCAAAAACCTTGGATTCTGAAGTAAATAAAGACGAATACCATTTTTTGTCCATCAAAGATGAACCCACTTCAACAAAACCTGAAATGAAGCAAATCCATAAAAACACTTGTGATAAGTTGAGCAAATTAAAAGGGATTTTGAAGAATGAGAGCACCTATATGGCCGATTTGGTAAATTTATATAACAAAGGCTGTTTTCAAGTAATAGAGGATAGTTTATCGAATGTTACCTTTGAGTTTTTGAAACCTCAGCTGAAATATGATGATAAATCGGATAAAAAGTGGAGTAAGGATAAAACATTAGGTCTAAGTCTGTATAAAAGAAGCCCCAAGTTGTATAGGTATTTAAGTTATCATTTTCAATTGCCTTCGGTTGATAATCTAAAAAGCACTCTAACAAAAATACCTTTTCCAAGTTCGGGGCCTATTGAATGCATTTTTGATTATTTACGTTTGGAGATGTTGAAGTACAAGTTGGAACCTCATTGTACCCTTATCTTCCAACAGATTGCTCTTAGCCCACATGTGAATTATGATAAAACTCTGGATCAGATATTGGGCTTTGAATATTTGGTGTCCAAAAATGAACACGGACCCACACCAGCAGACAGTGTGTTTGTCTTTATGCTTAGAGGTGTTGCATGTGATTATAAGATACCTGTTGCTTATTATTTTACTGGTGATTCATTTTCTGCTTCTGATTTGAAAGATATAATTGTGATCCTTGTGAAAAAGTTGCAAGAGATAGGCTTTAAGGTGGTTGCAACTGTATGTGATCATAGTTCCACAAATAAAGAAGCTGTTTCTATATTGACCAAATCGCATGAAAATGACCATTTTGTTGTCAATGGAGAGCGGGTGTACACAATTTTTGATGTGCCTAGCTTGCTCAAAAGCACACTTGAATCCCTAATGAGTGGCAATATAGAATATGAAAGTGGGAAGTTTGCCAAATTTGAAGATATTCGCAACGCCTTTAACTGTGATCAAAAAGTGGGTAACCACAAAATCCTGCCTAAAATAACAGAAGCCCACTTTACCTTCGACGACGAATTTCAAACTGCCGCTCATTTATTGAGCCACTCTGTCGCATCAGCCATACAAACCTTCCAAAAAGCCGGAAATATGCCCGCCACTGCTTTATATACCGCAGAATTCGTTGCCATGGTGGATGAGCTATTCGACTCTCTCAACAGCGACTTGAAAAAACACGATTCAAAAAAATTGCGGTGCCCTTTAACCTGTGAATCCCCGCATGAAACGTTTTGGGCGTCAGCGTTGCCCAAACTGTCCAATTGGACTAAAAACTCCTCAGAAGGTTGGCAGGTGACCATCAAGGCCGTGCGGTGCCTCTGGCGCGATTTGCAAGCCAGGGGACTGACGGTTTTGTCCCTGAGGAATCTCAATCAAGAGGCCTTGGATAATATGTTTGCGCAGATCTCTCAGACAATATCAACGTGGCCAATCGAGGATGATCCAACGTGTTGTGATTTTATGGAAGCCCTGAAGATTGAAGCCTTGAATAACTTTACCGCCACTCATTCTGAAGATGGTTATTTGGGCGATTTCGCGAAATATTTA